AGGACAGCTAAGGAATATGCACTTTGCATTGTGGGTCCGTTTCTCATAAAGCCAAGTGGGGTCCATGGTAAATCCTCCTAGGCCTGCTCTCCTTAACATGCCTGCATTTCTAAGTCATTCGTGCACTAAGGCATGCTGAGTCCTGCTGTGATGTAATTAAGGGTAATGTAATTGCAGCAAGGAGTAGAGAGCTGTCAATGCTTCCCATGGGTGATTAAATGCTGAGGGGAAGTTGAATAACTACAGAATTCATTTGGTGTAAGTTTATTCCAATGTCACAAGCATCCCACCCCTCCCACCCCCCCACCCCCATTTATAGGATAGGGTTTCTAAAAAGATACAAACACAGCATCCATAAGTAAACATTTTCATGCCTTCATCTCCCTTTAGGGAATGGAGAAGTGAAACTACTGCGTCCTAGGAATGCTTATTTATTTAGGAGGGGGATGTGGGCTTAGTTTGTATAATATTTAAGGAATGAGGCTAGAAAACAAAAGGGCTGCCTCCAAAAGGATTAAATGGTGGGGGTGGGGGAGGGGAGACCTGTGTACTTCCACACTGAAAGGAAGGGGCCCATTTCTAGTTGTATGGATGGTTATTGTATTTCTCTCTGTAATTTTTTACCTCAATGAACCACTCGCTCCTCCTGTCTGGGTCTCAATTTTGTGCACCTGGAAATGTGGGGATGGGTGTGTTTGGATCAGGTGAGTTCTGAAGTTCTTTGCATTTCAGTCCCACACACACATAGATCATACCAGAAAGTGTGGGTGAGGATCTGGGGGAACCAAAACTTTCTTACATGGCTGGCATGGTTGCAAACTGGTACAATTTGGGGAAAAAGTGGCAGTATGAATAAACCTTAAAATGTATATTACTTGTTACCCAGTAATTTCACTTTGGGGCACCCTCCTTCAGAAAACTTTCACACATGTGCCTCAGAGAGACCAAGACAAAAATTCTCACTGCACAGTATTTGTAAGACCCCCAAACTGGAAAAAAAAATGCGTAATATCTATCAGTAGAAAAATAGAAAATGAATAAATAAAATATGGCCTCTTCACACAAAGAAATACTATACAGCAGTTAAAAAGAATGGCCAAGTGCTATATAATACAATAGCAATATTTCTAAAACACAAGCGGTTAAGGGATTCCCATTGGTTAAATTTGTGAAAACCTGAATAACTAAAAAGGATAATGACAGTAACTGAGTGTGATACATTGAATTGATAAAAATTCATGCGTCTACAGTAAAACACAAAAAAGAAAAAAATCATACTGTTGGATAAAAAGTACAGTATAACACAGAGTGTACAGCCATTTATGTACATTTAAAATGAACATAAAATAATACCATTTGGTGTTCACAACTGCATATATAGACATACATACATGTGTGAAACCAAAGACAATGGAAGGAAGGATACAATTAAGTTCATCAGTGATGTTTGGGAAGCAAGGTAGAAGCCTGTGACTGGGGATAAAGGAGACTTCAACTTAAACAGCCCCCACGTGAAGGGTCTCCAAGAAACGGAGGGAGCCTAACCTTTAGGCCTTCACTGTCTAACTCCATGCTATCCAGTATGGTAGCCATCAGCCACTTACAGCAACTTGAATTTAAATGCAAATTAATTAAAGTTAAATAAAATTAAAATTTCACTTCTTCCATCGCCCTGCCCACATTTCAAATGCTGAAGAGCCACATGTATTGGGCAGCACACATATAAAACATTGCTATCATTGCTGTAAATCCTTTTGGACAGGGCTGGTCTCGAGCTAACAACCTGTCTTCTAGACACCGAGAACATTTTGGTGCTGCTGCTGTTTCCCTAATGCACCCTTCTGCACACAGGGAAGCCAAGGTAATGATGAGGGGGATCTTTTCATCTCTGGAAGGAATATGTCCACTACAATCCTAAATTCCAATTAGAACTGAAGCAACATTTTCTTGTTAAAGAAAATGAGATAAATCATTTTTAGAAGGTGATCTAGCAATGATCTATAGTTATGTAAACCTATCTCATTTTTCTCTAAAACTTAGGAAGTAGGAAGGTAAGAAGTTGAAGGAGGATGACAGCATTATCCCAACAAAACGCTAACTGTGGGTTCAGTGGTTTCCCAGGAGCCCGTGTTTCTTACCTGTACACAGTATGAGGGACATAGACTTCTCGGATTGGAAATTCCAAAATCTCCTTGTGCGGACGTGTCCGGTTTTCAGGAAAGGGTCTCACTGGCAGCAGTTCAGGGGTCAGACAACAACTGATTGTCTCTGGAGCTAGGGAAATCTCCAGTCTGAGCAAGCCTAAGAGGAGAAAATGGTACTGTTTTAGGAAAGACATTGTCATGTTCCTAGGGAATCAAGAAAGATTTCTGTGGCATATTTCTTTTTCAATGTTTTTTATTTTTTTATTAGTTTTAGGTGTAAAAAACAATGCAATATTTATACTTTTCACCCCTCGCAAAGTGACAATCCCCCTCCCCCCATCCACTGTTCCCGCACCCCCGATATCATGCTTATCTATTACAGTTCCATTGACTCCATTCCCACACTCTACTCCACATCCTATAGCATATTTCCTTTATGAAAAATAAAGAGAAGTGGGAATGTAAAAGTTTTGAAATTCCCAGCTAATTTCTTATAGCTGGAGAAAAAGCATGTCATGACAACTTTTGAGATTTTGTTTCTAGACATGAAAAAGCAAGAAATTGTACAATGAGTAGGAATGGATTAGTGGATCTTGAATGCCCCTTCCAGAACTACCACAGTATGACAATACGTAGTTCAGTAACTATTGGTGGCTTTCGAACTTGGTTCTCCGGTATCCCAGGGTGCTGCAGAAGTGCCTCAGTGGCTGTAAGCTGAGGATAAGAAAGGTGCCCTTACCTTCTACCAAGGCAGCTTCCTTTCACTTTTGTTTTCATCCTAAGAGTTCTGTATAATATTTTATATGATAAAAGAGGCTCTATTCAAACAATTATCTGATTCTGAGAAACCAAGTCTAAAGCATGTTTATTTACATGTAAATCATTTATTTACAGTCAATACTTTAATAGAAAATGTTAATAATTTTCTGAAAAAGTAGACTAATTCAGACTCTTTAACTCCTAATGAAAACCGCACATTTTACTTGGTAAACATGATTTTATGAATTTAGCACTTGATAAATAATGTGTCTAATCATAAATGACCTTGGCACAGCTTAAGAAGATAAAGACAAGCCATGTGTACCTGGAATTGACTTGACTCTTCTCTGTAAGGATGAAGATCTTTTGTAGTCAGCTAAAAACTTGAATAAGTCTTCATCACTGAGGCGATCTCCCTCCTGCCAAGAGAGAAGTCAGGGTTAGTGGAGATGCACATCCTGGGGTAGAGACCAACGATTTCTGGAAAGATCTTTATCTTTACATTTTATTTTAACATGCCTTTCATAGAAATTAGGATGACAGGCAATGCTGAAGTCCTTTAGTTAAACTTCTTGTCAAATATTCCTTTTTTACCACTCCTGGCCTCCTGTCACTCGGCCTCTCATCACTCCTTCTGGGGACAGGGCCTCTACTACATTCCAAGGAAGTTGTTTGATCATTAGGAATCTAAGCCAAAGGCTTCTTCCCTTATAACTTAAGCCCACTGATGCTTGTTTTACTTCCTGGAATAATACAGAATAAGTTTACCTCCTTCTTCAAATATTTGAAGATGGAGAAAGCATCTTCCCATCTTTTTCCTATCATTTTCTTCACAGTTGTCTTGACTAAGAAGGCTAAGCATAAATACTGCCCTCTATGTGCCCACATGGGACAGGACTCTGCTAAGAGACCCATGGGCAAGAGAGCTCTAACCGCCTGGTAAGGTAGGTAGGTAAGTGTGTCTTATCCTCAAGTGCAGATAAGGAAACTCAGACTTAGTTAAGTCAAGTCCTTTGCCCCGCAAGGTAACACAATTGGAAGGGGTGTATCTGGGATAGAAACCCTTTCAGTCCCATGCTATTTCTATTATGCAGCGTAGTGCACAGAGCCCTCAGCATCCCATCTGTGTTTTGGTTTGTTAATCCAACCCCTTGAAGACTGTTCGAACTGTAGAGAATGGTCTAAACAGAGTCAAACCAAGTCTAATTCCAGTTTGTGTTTTCTTTGGTAGTAAAATACACATACAATAAAGTTTGCCATCCTAACCACTCGTGAGCGTGCAGTTCAGGAGTGTTAAGTACATGTACATTGTTGGGCAACCAATCTCCAGAACTCTTTCATCTGGCAACACCGAAGCTCTGGACCCTTTAAACAAGGGTCCCTACTCCCCTCTTCCTCCAGCCACTGGCAATCATCATTCTACTTTCTTTTCTATGAATTTGATTACCCTAAGAAATTCTTTGTTTTTTAAAGTCCTAGTGTTTACTGAGCTAACAAAGTGCACCATTTGCAGTGGTCACACTCCATGAGCAAGCAGGCGGCCCTGCAAAGCCAGCACATGAAATAGTGGTAAGGACAACAGTCAGGTCAGGGAACCCTGAAACCAAGGGGGAAGTGATGTGTCAGACTGTTTTCATAGTTTAATAAATGAATTGACCATGAGAGTTCAAATAGGAGAGTTTGTATTAATGGGAGCAAATTCTTCTCTCCATTAAAAGAGCGAACCCTCACTGAGCACTTGCTATAGCCCAGGCACTCTGAGAAGTGCTTTATATGCCTCATGTCCTCTAATCCTCCTAAAAGGCAAACGAAGCAAGTACCATCATCCCTGCTGTGCAGATAATGAAACTTGGTGAGATTAACTCCCTGTTCTCTTAATCACTATATATACACCCCCTTTAGGTTCCAAAACCCATGACATCGTGGGGACAAATCCAGACACACTGTAACGTGGAGAGATACCTGCTTGAAAAAGCTGTTAATGGTCATCGTGGTGGTCTTGACGTTGGATCCAACCCCATTTTCCTCCAAGGACAGAGTTCTTTCAGAAAGCCTTCTCGACTGGGACAAAGTTCTCCGCTCACCCACAGAGCCTTTCCCTTTGAGGAAAACAAATGTCATTGTAATGTATGTCTTTCTGTTATTAACAGGTTATTAACTTTACCATATAGGAGATATGTTTACAGTCACTGAGCAAGAACATTGAACATGGCCATTCTTGTTTTGAATGAAAATTTCCCTCCACTGGCCCCTGCCTTTCTTAGATCCCCTGCTGGAGCCTCTAACCTCTGACCAGAGTGGGAAGACTAGAGCAGTTACAGTCCCCTCCCACACGGAGGGTAGAGCAGGCGCCACCCAGCAGGAGTCCAGAACTGCAGCCAGAACAGGGTCTGTAGATAAGCTTTATTTAGTCAACAGTGTTTGCTTTTGCTTTATTTTAATTTGCATTCCACTGGGAGAGGCATGTACTCAAATGCCCTTGGAGGCATGTGGGACTGCGACCCCAACAGGCGAGGGTCAGCCTGAGTCCATTCTGAAGCCTGCTATGGTCTGCGCCCACTGTGTGGACCAGGCAGCAGAACTGGCTGACCCGCCTAATGGGGATTAGAACCCTGACTCACACCCAAACCTGGGCTGGGACCCTAATACTCTGCTTAGTTGTTTGGTTTTTTTGGGTTTTTTTCCCCCTTGTAAGATTTAGGTGAGGATCTTGTTTCTTATGCACTGCAAAACTCAGGGGTTCTATTATGAATAAATTGCTTAAAACTCTAATATTGCCAACCTGTCTCTGAATATTCTCTTATCCTTAATTCTTGCCACCCTGCCTCAATATAGTACCCTGCATCTTCTGGTTGCTTCTCAAGAACAGCCTCTGTAGTCATCAGATTCCTTTATCCTAGACCTAGACATTACTGAAGCCCCAGCAATCCCCATGCCTGAATTTATGGCATCATCAAATTTATGGTGTCCTATGGACTCTATGCATAACTCTTTTAAATAAGGCTACCTCAGTCTACATAGAGGCTGGTGTTTAAAAAGAAAAGCAACAACACTGTGGTGTGAAGGTCAGGATGCACTAAAGTGAGGTTTGTTATTGATAAATCAGAAATAACCCAGGGGTTCTGTCCGGTAATTATACAACAATAACCCCAGGATTGCAGCAGCAATAATAAAATACCCTTTCCTCCACTCCTTGCTAAAGGCAACACTTCAGAAGTGGCAGAGCTAAGGAATGCACGAGAAATGTGACAGTGGACTTAAATATTTGCTGGATACGAAGACATTTGGGAAAATAGAAACTCTGCCCAGGTGGGTGGGACTGCTTGAAAACTCTACAACCGTCTTGAATAGTTTCAAACCAAACCTGTTTAAAAAAATGAATGATTTGGATCAAGGGTGAGGTGATGAAAAAGAGAAATATGCTAAATAAATCAGAACAGTAACTAAATATTCTTTTGGCATCCACTTTCTCATTGCACTTGGCAAAATAAACTTTAAGGGACTGGAAATTTTGCTGAGAAACCAACCTGAGTTTTGCTTTTTGAAACCCCCGTGACAGTGGCTCTTCTTATGTTCAGAAGTCAACCACAATGCCTTTGTTTAACACACTATAAAGATGGTTGTTATATTTTCTTGTTATTTTCAAGAATTTTACTTTCAAGAGGAGGTGACTCCTGAAAATTAACTTTTTAAAGTATCAAACTGCCCAGAAAATTCCAACCCAAAATCTTACTATAAGAGTATATTTAGGGCCGGCCAGTTAGCTCAGTTGGTTAGAGCGCAGTGCTCATAACACCAAGGTTGCCGGTTCAATACCTGCATGGGCCACTGAGCTGTGCCTTCCACAACTAGATTGAAGCAACTACTTGACTTGGAGCTGATGGGCCCTGGAAAAACACACTGGCCCACCCCCCACACACCCCCCAAAAAAGAGTATATTTAAACTCCACAAATCTTCACAATAATTTTGGGAGATCATTGTCCAATCATGCATTTGTAATCCAGCCATAACAGTGTTTCATCCTATTTATCTCCTTATTCCTTCTCATTCCCCACACCTTACTGTACGCCTAAGCCCCCACTAATAAACAGTTGAGCTCAGAGTTGGTACATTGGGGAGCCCACCCCTTCCCACTGCAGCTGAAAATCTTACCAACCATGGGATCCACATCGGTTACCTCCCTGTCTAGGGTGGAGACACTGAAGAAACTTGATAAGCTTATGGGAGCCCAGGCAAAGGGCATCCGGTATTTCCCCAAACGTTGGCAAAAGGATTCAGCTTGAAGTTTTAGTTTTTCAACCTTTTCTTTGCTCTAGAGGAAAATGGGAAGAGACAAGCAGAAACCAACAATATGGGACCAGCACCAAGTCAACTGCCCTGCCATGGATATGACTGGCATCTCTAAAATCTCTACCCTACTGATTAAGAAGGGTGAATAGGCAGAAAGCTGACACGACTTGGGACAGAAGTCTAACAGATAAGGGAATACAGATTAGAAAAGGGGGAGTTTAAAGAAAGGCTACATTCAACTATTAAATACACCTTCAGCTTAAAAAGTTCAAGGTTTATTACACCAGCTAATCAACAAGTGCCTCTTTAGGGGCTGGTTGCACGACTTGAATTCATGTGAGAGAATCTTGGGATAAAAACTTTGGGTATCATCTACTATGCGCTCAAGAGAGCCTATTTTTCTAAGTTCCCTTGGAAAAGTCCAGAAAGATCTATAAAAGTTCCTAACAATTTCCTTGTTAGGTTGAAAACACTTCCAAGGTGTTCTTTCTAGGTTCAGAGCAAAAGGTAGATTTAAAAAGATGTCTTGAGTTCAATCATATTTGAAATTTATAAGTCTATAGTATGATGCTGATTAGGCAAGTCTTATTCCAGAAAGACCATGCTTTAAAAATCATACCAGGTGCTGAGAAAACATATCCTTTTCATAAGCTCAGTACCTATGTTGAATTAGTCAATTTATGATGGACAGTAGTCTCAGCCAATTTCCAAATATCCATACCAGAAAGGATGGTGGCCCATGCTGCTGAGAAAAGTCAGAAGAGCTCTGGCACTGTTTAGTTTCATGGGGTACCTGTGGCCCTCCCAACCAGCTGGGTCAGTCAGAGACTCAGAACCTAGTCAAGTTTGAGGGACAAACATTGGTGGGTCTATCATCATTTGTTGAGTTTAATAATTTATTTTGTTAAAAAGTTATTATCAATGACTAATTTCTCTTCCTTCTTTGGTTTAAATACAACTTATTTGTGTCTCATATGGGGACATATTATGGATTAAACTCCATTAACTATATTGTGGAAGACTGATGAAAATTATCTGCTTATTCTAAGGTGTCACCATTTAGCAATGCTCAAAATAGCATACCTTTCCACCATCACTTTCCTTGATAACCATGTAGGGTTCTGCGCAGTCTCCAATCTCTCCCTGCTGAAGGACTTTTTCAATCTACCAACAAAAATAATATTAAACAATGTATATGAATTATATCCATATAACGGAATCTATTCAAACATCAAAATGATGTTTTGTGACAATATTTGATGACATAGGAAGATGTCCATAATATACGGTGTTTGATTTAAAAAACTCTTAGAAGAGTACTATACAGTTTTATCAAAAGTCATAAAGGCATATTAAAAGGATGATAATACATGAACAGCAAATGTTAATAGTAGTTATCTTGGCATGATGGGATCATGTGCTATGTTTATTCTTCCTATTGCTTATGAGTATTTTCTATTTTTGAACAACAAACAAGCATTATGCCTACAATAAAAAAATGCAATAAAAGTTATTTTATAAAACAAAGCCCATGAGACATATGTAGGAAGTGAAAAGCTCATTTTCTTTATTATTGCTTACAATGTAAAAAAGAGATATGACCTCTGTAAAAGTCAGGTTTGGGAACTCAATCCCTCCACAAAAATGAATAAATGAACAAAATAAATTATCTGTAATTCTCTCCCTTGTTATTTCCTATTAGGGCTGCTTCTCTGACTTTAACAGACTTGGAAAGAAGCCAAAAGCAGTGGGCTGGTGCAGCTTTTCACTTTGCTAACTGGCTGGTAATATGAATGAATGCTACTATTGTCAAGTATCTTCTTCGGTTTTGCTTCAGGTAAAGGATCTGGCTGACTATAAATTTAGGTACCACGTTTAAGAGACAGAAAAGGCAAATTTTGAAATTTCCTAACCCTCTGCTCCAAGAACATTTAAATGAACTTAGATGTTGAGGAAAAAAACAAGTGGATTTAGTTCCATTAGCTTGTGTCATTAGTGGAGATGATTACTGAAGAAGGAATTTGGGTCCACATATTCCAATAGGCACACATTCTTGATTGGCGCTATCAGTTAGGCGTAAATTATGTAAACTAGAAATACGCTAGTGATGGAGGGTGTCTAACGGAGTTTCAAAGGAAGTGGCATGGAGCTGCTCAATGATCATCCGTCCCAGGAAGACTGCAAGCAGGAACTCTCTCTTCTCACAGAGGAAGTTTAAACCCTTTCCCATTGCCAGAGCATGAAGACAAGGCTGATGGTCCTGAGAAATGCCCCAGGTTAAGAACACAGACACACAACACAGAGCTGGAGACTAATGAGTATTCCTGCTAGTCAGCAATCACTCACTGATTCAATCATTCAGAAAACATTTGTTGGGTACCTTCTATGGTGGCTGCTGGGAAGACAGGTGGTGAACACAATAAGCCTGGACCCTATTCTCCTGAAGCGCATAGTCAGGAGCTTATGGAGCAAATTGGAAGGAAGCTAATTTTTCCAGGAAGTCAAAGGATAAAAATGGGGTCTTTAAAGTAAACTTTGAACAGAGATAAAGAACCTTTTCATTAGGACCCTAAAGCAAGGACTGGGAGTTCCACGGCTTTATGCACTAGTATCGCACAGTGTGGAACCCACAGGAGGGGGACCTCTAGGAGCCGGAAGCAGGAAAACCCGGATTGGACCAGACCAGCACATACGATTCCCTTCATCAAGCAGGACAAGGGTAACTGCAGCTACTTCATGAGAAGGAGCTGCAGGCTGCTAGGAGAGCCCACTGTATGGTCCTTCGTGATTTATGTGTAAAAGAAATGAACAAACCCTCATAACCATGGCAGGTAGGGGAAAGCACATCAGAATAACCTGGAAATTTTTAAAGTAAAAAGGCTACCCTCTGTTCTATTTAGGAGGGGCTGGTCCGATGCCTGCTATGTCTATTTTTAAAGTTTTACATCAGATTCACTCTCATCCTTACTCTCCATCCTTCAATTGAGAAATAAAACTTTTAAGCCTAAAATATCCCCTTAAAGCAATATTACATGCAATAAGCAATTAGGTAACTCTACATAAAATACAGTTAAGATCCTGGTGCTCAGCCTGAGAATAAAAATAAGAAAGAAGCCTCTCTTACTGAATGGCAACTGCCTTAACAGATGTGCTAAATATTACAATACCATTTACTATATGTTTAGAGGGGGAAAAGCTACAATTATAGCATTACAGAAGAGAAAAACAAATCAGAAGCAAACCAGGGACTGTATGAGTAGATTTAAATTTCTTAACTATATCCAAGATCATTGAGAGAATGTTTGTTATTACCAAATGAATGCATTTACACATTTGAAACATTTGGAATAGATTTAGTAAGTAATAGTGGCCTATATATAAATGCTACTATTTAACAGACTACTATGGATTAACCAAAATAAAGTCATCCATGGAGAAGTGGAGTTTGAAGTAGAATTTGGCTCTGTAGAACTAGTGTTGACTTCTTTGGTTTTTCAGGCTGAGAGGGAAGTTTGGATTTAACTACAGGGCTTCGACAGTGGGCTTTAAGCTAATTTTCTTTATATGTCTAAGTAACATTGCAGCAAAAAAGACACACATTAAAGTTTAACAATATTAAATATGTCTTTTTAGCAACAGAATTTTTAACTATAGTTTCCATAAGATTAAATAAGTTTCCTTCAAGCTATAGTAACATTTCAGAGTCTTATAAAATGGTGGAAAGGAAGCTAAAATGGAAAGACATCTGCCACTTGATAAGTGGCTTCCAAGTCACCTCAATTCTTTGAAATCGTTATTCTAATCCCATGGGATCATGGGGGATTCAATGAAATTATGGACATCAAACCTGGAATGCTGAGTGTACATGAAATCAAAACACCTGGATTTATTTATTTATTTTTTTACAATGTTGGGGTAAAGAGTCAGTGAAACTAATTATTTCACTTAAGGTAGGTAAAATACTCAATGTCAGTTGTTAATTTCTAACCAGTCATTTTGGTGTATAGAGAAAGTCTCTGGTTTTCTTACATCAGCAGCGCACAGCCTAGGATGACAGGTCCTTCTACTTATGATCGCCTCCCACCTCCCCACCCGGTTTTGACTCTTTACCTAGACATACTTAGTCTATGAGATGGTGATAAAAAGGAAGAGCGAAACTTGGAAAGCATAGCCCATACCTCAAATTGTCAGAGCCTAGGCTTGTGGACATTTAACTATGGGTGTCTACAAATACGTGAACATCATTAGAAAACTCTTGAGACTTTCTCCACAGTAGTCTCCGGGAGCTGTATAGTGGAGGGTGCTTTCATTGGTTAGGAGAAAGGGTGCCTATAATGTGCCAGGCTTTATTCTGTAATTACAACTACCCATCAGGGGTGTTTTATTATCCCCACTTTACAGATAAGGAAACTAAGTCTCCAAAAGGTTAGGTAAATGGCCCAAAGTCATATAACAATCAAGTTGCAAAGCCAGATTCAAAACTAGGACTGTGTGACTCCAAAACCCATGGTTGTTCTAGTATTCAACAGAGAATTTGCTTGTCAAGGAAAAGGATAAGTTGAGAAAGGAACAAACTGAATCTCACAGAAGACAGAGAGATAGTTCTCACACCTCTCTCCCACGATGCATGCACTGGGAATAACGCAAAAACAGGAACATTGGAAGGTGCAAATCAGATTGTGTTTCATTACCTTGACGACTAGGTAGATGTCTGAGGATGGATAGGTGACCGAGAACACCGCAGATCTTGCCTGACTCGATATGGCAACAGAGGGTGTATGGGCACGCAGAAATCCTTTGAATTGGTCAGAGTTCAGGTCACAGTGAAAATTTTCCGAGATCTGGAAACGAGTAGCAAAGTGAAAAATAAGTTAGATTTGGTGTTCTTGTGGCCTAAACACATTTTAGAAAGACCAAAAAAAACATACAGAAATTTATCCAAAGGAATAAATGTAATCATAGCCACAGTTTATAGTTAGTGGCTGCTGGGAAAACCAATACCTATTTTGTCACAATCTCTAGATATACTGGGGCCATTAAAGATATGTTCCTTGAAACATTTAAATTTTTATTAACTCAGCAGTATTTCCTGAATATCAATGGTGTGCTAAATACTGCACCAAAGAAGAGCCAGACATTGCCTCTGCCCTCAATTAGTTTACAAACAAAATGAGGGAAAAGGCAAATATGTACACGGAGAGCAAAATATAAGTGATCACCCTCATACAAAAAAAGAATTTACCGATGGTGAGAGATCACACCCAGTGGGGGTGATGCTTTTCTTGGAGGAAGCATGTGAGATGCATGGACCTTGGAAGAAGACTGTGCTAGGCAGAGCTGGAGGGTGATGGTGTACCAGGGATAGAGTCCCATACAGAAATATTACAGAAGCTGGAAAACGGGGAGTGAGTTTAGTTAACAGAGATTAGTGCAGCTTGACTCTGCATAGGTTACAGAGGGAAAGATAGCAGATGAGAGCCATACTGAAGAAAGCCAGGGATGGGAGCTAAAGCGTTTGTTTTTAAAGTTGTATACAGTAAGGCTCCATTAAAGATTTTGAGCAAGAGCATGGGATGATGAGTGCTCCTTGGCTCATTAGCGTGGTGTTACCTATGAGCCGCTGTATAGTTGGGTCTCTCTTGACCACTAATAGAGTTATAGCTGAGTTGGCTGCCCAGGCAAAGACTACATTTACCATCCTCCCTTGCAGCTAGGAGTGGGCATATGACTAAATTGTTTCCAATGAACTGTGAGCGTAAGTGATGTATCAAATATCTAGGCCCCTCACCCAGCTTTTCCCTTTTTCAGGAGCTGCAAAAACAGTGACAAAAGTGACGCTGGGAGAACACATATTGAAGATGGAGGAGCCCCTGCCAGCGTGAGTTCCTGAATGACTCCGTGAAGCAGACCACTGCTGACCCAGCACCCCCTACCCTGGATTGTTAAAAAACAAAGCCAGAAACTTCTTTAAGCCAGTGGGTCTAAAAATGTGGTCCCCGGACCAATAGCTTCAGCATCACTTGGGAACCTTTTAGAAATGTACATTCTCAGACCTACCCAGACCTACTGAATCAGAAACTCCAAGGGAGGGACTAGCATCTGTTGTAACAAGCCCTCCAGGTAGTTCTGATGCACAGTCAAGTTTCAGAACCACTGCCTTAAACTCTGGAACTTGGGGGTCATTTTGTTTTAGCAGTTAACCTACCCTAATAATACAAATCTCAGTGATCATTAGTATTTATTCAAGAGATACACATTTCCTTAAATACAGAATGGTTATGGGTAGAAAGGGGCAGAACCGTCTTACTCTGGTTTTGCTATTTTTGTCTTCCTCTGGGAGTTACAAAATGACTAAACAGTAAAACATGCATGGAGAGTCTTAGGTCTTTGAATTCTTTTCAATTAAAAGCACATTACAGTTGGTGAGGGCTTCACCCTGTGGCAAATTTAGACTTTCACTGCACAAGACAGCCTTCCCTTCATGATGAGCCTATTTCACAATGCAAAAAAATTCCCCCAATGAAGAAATAGTACATGCATATCGGAGCTTGTTAAAAACGTATTTAAATTGCTTTGTTTTGCACGTAGCCCATACACTGCTCTATCGTTTCTCTCTTATCCCAGCCAGGCCTCTCGCCATCCTCTGGCCAACCTGCAGCCGGCTTTCCTTTAAAGGTTCTTCAAAGGACACAAGTGACCAACACTCCCAGATCATTCCTTCAAAAGCTGCAAAGGCAATAGAACTGGGTGTATCAATGGTCATTTGCTTTCAAATCAGATGTGTTTTTGCTGAATAGAAGTGAGATTTAAAAACATGAACCCAAAGACTCATCAATAATATGTGTGCCTCAGGGATGGGTTTTTTGCTTTTTTACCTTTTTTCTTTCTTTAACATCGTAGAGGGCAATGCTGGCAAACAGAGGCTCAATTTCAATCTCAAACCTGTCAGAGAAAAAGAGAAAGATCTGTGTAGTTTTAACTTGGACAATCGTGAATTTTCTGAAAGTGCCTGAATATATAAACTGGTTAAAAATATAAGTAGTTTCCAGAAATATTTTGATAACTCCATGCATATGAGAAGCACACTGGGATATCAGTGGAGAAATATGGAAGGTTCATGGAACATTCTTAATCATTTGAGGTCATGGTGGGTAATACATTGTCCCCATAAGTGATTGTTGGTGGCACCACAAGAAAAAGTGGGTGGAATATAACCATCGTAGCTGCTGTGTTTTCAGAGGGTCGAGTCTCTGTCTTAGGTAAAGGCCTTATTTACAGTTTATGTTTTACAGCTAAGATAGGAATCCTTATTATTCAATTCTAAGGGATGGGCTTTTCAGGTAGTAAAAAGAAGAGTTCAGTTGCTTTCCCTTAGATTTATAGTGGGACCATCAGAGGAAGACTGGGTGACCCTTCCTAACTGCACTGCCAGGGAAATTGCTGAGTTGAGGTAGGGGGAGAGAACTGAGCAGCACCAATAAACATTGAGGTGTGTGGACCCAATGACAGCAAGAAAAGAGGAGCCCTCATAGTGGCCCTCACTGCCCATTCCCCTTGGAAAATGGTGGGTTTGAAAAAAATGCACCCCCAAAGCATAATCCTGCCACGTTATAAGATACACACGGAGCACAGAGGTGCACCTTCCAAGTTTCTCAGGATAACAACCTGTGACCTTGAACACTGCCAGCTGCGAGCACCAGTAATCGGGTCCATTACTGCAGAAGTCATGCCAATTAGGCCAAGTTTTGTTTCAAGGCTTATGTGAGAGGATGGGCTCATCATTGGATAGCTGTGCCTTAAATGACATTTTTAGAAGAATGTTTGTGCCTAGGCTCACCAGGTATGACCTGGCACGGTTGATCTGTATTTAATCGTGTACTGCCTGCTACACACAGGTCTGTATATTCCTGTAATTTACTTAAGTGCGATGTACTGAATGTTAAATTCTCCGTGGTTCAGAGAAAGAAGAAGAGAATGAACATTTGTGAAACACTTAAAATTATGCTGTGATAAGTGCTTTACACGCCAATTCCTTTAGGCTTCACAACAACAGTGGAATGTAGATATTATCCCCATTTTCTTAGGTTCGGAGAGCTTAAGTAATTCGCCAAGGGCCACAAGGTTAGGAATTGGCACTCAGGTTTCTGAGCCCAGTCCTTTCTGATCACAGAACCTGAGTTCTTTCTACCAGTGTTTCTCCAAGCATAGTTCCCAGAAACTAGCGTTTTGAAGCAAATAAGGAGTTTGTCAAAATGCAGGTTTCTTAGTCCCACCTGAAATCTACTGAACCAGAGTCTCTTAGGGGAAATGGTGGTGGGAGGTCTCCCCAAACTTTCATTTACAACAAGCTCCCTGGGTAAATTTAATGCACACTAAAGTTTCACTATTAAGAAGGCTCCTTTGAGCTGAGGTTACTTTGCATAGATGGTATTACATTTTAAATTAAAAGATTTTTCCACTTAAAATGCAAAATAGGAAGATACTCTGTCATTATTTTCTCTTTTTTTGCTGCTATACACATTTACAGACTTGTCACCAGCCTAATTCTGTATGTTCAAGTCTTTAGATATTTCTCAAAAGCAAAACAAAAACAGTTACAGATCTTGGTAATATTTTTAAAAGTTCCCTAGGTGATAAAATCTATAGTTATATAAATACAATTCTGCTTATCGATGGGGAAACACGTTTCTTTAACATTACCATTAAAATTTTACTATTCGTATTTTAACCTTCTAGGATTATTTATAAAAATTTGCTTTCTTTCTTTTATCCAGTTTATTGAAAGTACTTATACCTAGGACAACCTCTTCCGTCCATCTCTCTTGCAGGTTTATGTTGATATGGATACTACTTAAGACACCTGAGCAGGTCAAGTGTACTGAGCAAACACTTCAATTGCACTTAATTTCCGCTTTGGTAGTTGGAGAAAAAAATCACTAGAAACTAACCTTTACAATTTTCATCAAGAGAAATCCAAGCCACTCAATTTGTTTTTCAAATAATACACATCTTTCTTAGTGGCCATATTTTCCCACCTGTGAGAACAGCTGCCATTTATTTGTTGCAAAGGTCTAGTAGACAGCTTGGTGATAACAATCACAAGGGAGAATTCCTCCCATCCTAAAAGGCATAATTCCTGCATCAGAAAGCGGCCTGATGGGCATCCTGTGGGGGCGGGTGAGTACCTCAGACAATAGGATGGACTTCCTGAAAGAAGCAGAGGGGAACGGAACAGCCACTTCCACTCTGTCCTCCTACTGAAGGACTAGGAGGCTCCCACTCCCAGTAGGCTTTCCAGGGCTAGAGTTCACCTGTCTCTACCCTTTACCTAATACAGAGCCAGCTTATGGGCTGCTCATCTCTGTGTATAAGAAAAAAGGTCCTAACTGCTCCCCCATCCTACTGCTAGTAGAATTGGCTAGGGGAAGGGAGCCCCCACAACGGGTGAGCAGTCAAGCTGGCTTGTGCTCTGAGGAGTGGAGCTGGAGAGACGATGTATTCCCATCAGAAGTTTATGACAGGTAGGAACTTTGAGGCCATCTTGTCTCACAGCTTCATTTACAAAAAGGGATTCAAAAGCCCAGAGAAGTTTTCAAGGTTGAAACAAAGCCTTGAATCCAGTATCCAGATGCCCTAATTGCAAACCAGGTGCTACTTAAGGGGGGGTGCATGGACTGAGGTCAAGAGATGGATGACTCCCCTAATAGGGTATGAAAAAGTATTATGCTTATGCACCTTTGCCCAGGTGGAGCATTTACAACTTAATATTTTCAAAAGGGTCTATGATTTGAAAAAGTCAAACAACTAATTCTCTAAAGCAGCAGCCTGCAAAGAGGAAAGAGAGGTACACAAGCACTCCAGGGGGTACGCAAGACAATGCGTTGGAATGTAGAAAGAAAATACTATAATTTATTCTCAGTTATTTAGTTCAGCCATTAAAATTTCTTATATAGGTATGTTTTATAATGTATATAATATTTTAATATGAAAGTACAAAATTAATACACATACATAGAGGATGTGATTTTTTTACACTGGAAGTAAACAATTAAACAATTTGGAGATAATTGCTTTCAAGTAGATGTGGCAAATAACTGGCCCACAAGATGAATCCAGATTGCAGACATGCTTTGTTTGAATTGTGAGGTATTTTAAAAGGAAATAAAATTTTAAGAAGAAAATCATGCAGAAAAGTCTGGATTTCCATCTCTCTTGGCAAAAAATGCCCCCAAGAAAACAGACAATTGACAAAAATGGGCCTGTGTACTTGGATGGCAAGAGTTGGTCCTACTAGTGGGTGCCCCTTTAAGACAGTTAGCTTCAGTCCCCACTGAGGGCAATACTCTCTATTGCTCTAAGGTACTGAGACTGGGTTTTGGTTGCATTTTCAACCATGTTTGACAGTGTTTCAACAGTAGCATGCTGGTAAATGTTTAACAAACAAGTCTCTGGAAAAAAAAAAAAAAGAAAGGTTCTACCTTGTAGCATTTTCATAGTTTCCATGTTATAAATATTTCCACCATGGCTAATTTCAAGTTACCAATGTGACTTCACTGAATAAAGAGTTGGAAAAAGAAATGCACAATCAGCTCTCATGAGTTAGTCAGAGCTGACCCTAGCACACCATTGGCTTCCACTGTTATTTTTCTTAATGCAGACCATTTCCATTAATTGCCTTACATGCCTAACCATAGTGTTTGCCTTCCCTATTACAGAAGAAAGACTGTCAAAGGTTTGGTAGGCATAGAACTCAGATCTAACTGACTCCAAACTCTGCTCTTTCCACTACCTCACAGCTGCCCACTGTTAAATGTGTTAGGGGAGCCTCCCCGATTCAAGCTCTGATGATAAAGACACAGTTTATATCTAAAAGGCAAGACAAACCTCAGTGTCATGGTTAGTATGTTTGCCGATACTTACTTCAGGGTCAGCAGCTTGACCAATATTCTGTTGCCCAGATGTTCCTTAGGACATTCTGGTACTGGACGTATTTCCACAGCATCCTCCTATTATTAATCACATGGTAAAGAAATCATTAGTGAATTTTCATGAGGAGTTCCATGTGGAGTTAACCCAGGGAAAGGAAGGCTGCCATCCACCATTCAATTCAACTTGCATTTTCTTTATTTCGAATAGCAGAATAACACTTTGACATTTACAAGAGAGTTTGTTATCCAACCCCCAAGCTTCAAAGTCAGCCTTTACAGCAAACATTTTCTCCTTTTAGAAAGCCAAGCATTTAAGACAAAGAGATGGAGGAAGGAAGGAAATGTGAACATGGATATGACTTATTAATATCCACCAGATGGCATTGCAAAATCTTATACCTATTGTTGGCTTTTTTTTTTTTTCATTTTGTTTTGGGGCTGCTCTAAGTATACATTCAGAGTATTTCTCCTGCCAAGGACTTACTAGTAAATATGTGTGTTTCAGACTTGAGATATGAGTCAGAATAGTTCACTTAATGCTGTAAAGCATCAATACTATATTAGAGTGTCTTTCTCAGTTCATTGTTTTCTTAAACAGATGATAGAGATTTGGGGTTGAATTTATAGGTTCTATAAAGACATATCCAGCTAACACTTGCCAAAATAATAAGTACAGAAAAGCTTAGTAATGACAAATTAAGAGATATACCTGTCTATTTTATCACATTGGAACTTAAGGCTTAAAGAGAAACATCAAATCTCTGTTGTAACGTCTGGCATACAAATCTAAACTATCGTGGTATCTTAATTATATTCATGTATGCAAAGATGAACAGTGTAAGTCCCTGAGCAATTTAATTCAGGCTCTTGCAAGAGGCCACCCAAACACTGGTCAGTGGTCTGCAGCTCACAAGGGTCTAAGAAATAGAGTCATGGCTAATTGTATTTCCTGGGCTATCAAGGATGAGAGCTTCCCACTAAATATCCCAGAGCAGCCATAACATTTTTACAAGTGGCAATAAAGTCACCTCCTTGGCAAATCTGTACCCAATATGGTAGAATAGACAACATAGTAAACTCACCTCTACTCTAACTTCTATTCTCCTTCAAGGCCCAATCCTGGGCCTATCAGTTGGCCATCTTGCTGGGTGGAGTTGCTGACTTTGTTTCAGAGGAGGCACTGTGCTGATGCCTACACTGAGCTGAACTCCCTCAGAGCAAGCTGGAACTTTTAGGATGATTAGAACAGACACATCTGAAAGGGAAGGTCCCCCTACTGGAAAACAACCTCAACGTAAAGACATTTGTGGGTTTCTATGACTATGTTTGGTCTGGATTCAACCTTTGGAATCTTTCTTTAAAAGCTTTGCATTTGGTAAATTGTAAATATATACAAGCAGAGAGAATAACACAATCAACCACTTTTGCCCATCACCTAGCTTCAACAATTCCAACTCATGGGCAACGTGGTTTCACCTATATTCCTACTTACCATCAGCCCCCACTCAATACTGGATTACTTAGAAGCAAGGCCACAGACATCATATAATTTCATCTGCAAATGTTTCAGAACAAGTCTCTAAAGATAATGACTTTTAAAAACACATAACTGTAATACCATTATTATTCCTAAAAAATTAACAAAAATTTCTTATTGTCGCTAAATATGGAGCCAGTTCCAAATTTCCTCAACTGTCTTAATTTTATACAGTTAGTTTGTTAAGCCAGGGTCCAAACAAGGTCTTAGGAAATATTGATGTATTTCCTAAGTTTCTTCTAACGTATGACCTTCTGGAGCCTTTACAGTTGTCTGAAATAGGAACAAATTCCCAAAGAAGTTGAAGAGGAAATTTAAAGTTTTAGTGAATACCTGTTTTCGTTTTCCTGGGAGGTGTTTTGTGTGTGTGTGTGTGTGTGTGTGTGTGTGTGTGTGTGTGTGTGTGTGTGTGTGTGAGAGAGAGAGAGAGAGAGAGAGAGAGAGAGAGAGAAAGAAAGGGAGATGGAAAGAAAGAAAGTGACAGAGAAAGATAACTTGAGGAGATGACATTCTTCAATAACTTGAGAGAGAATTGGCCCAATGCATCCTGAGTATCCCCCACTTTTTTTCCTTAATTGGTTGGGTTCTGTCACTGGCAACCAAAATGCAAACTCTTCAATGACGTGGAGTATAGTGGCATCTTTCTTAGGGATCCACATAGGATGACACCTTTTATAGACTCAGTGAATCAGGGAAAGAACTCACCTCATCTCACTTGGTGGTTGAGTTCTACTTCTGCCTTTCCCGTAGACTCAGTCATGATATAGATGTAATAATTCACCTCTCTTCTAACTTCCCTCACCAGTAAATAAAATAATGATAATATAATTTCATTGATGTGTTGTCAAAGAACTCAGCAGTTGTAATCATTTCACGATAGTTCAGAAATTTACCCTTCTTCCATGAGACTTTCGTTGGAGAAAGTACAAATTACAAGTAGAGATGTAATTTCTGTGTGTCCAACTTTAACATATTAAATGGCTGGTATGGGGCCCTCAAGCATTTTAGATGTACCAATTTAAAAATTACTAGTACACTAATTACAAAGCATTCCTCTCCACTCAGTGAAGAGGCCCCATGAGGACCTCTGCTAGATTATAACTTTTGCCTCAATTGAGTTTCTGCATTGTTCAAAGACCATAAAATAAAGTTCCTTCAAAACAGTCTGTGATTCATTCTTTTAATCAGTTCAGACTGGATATCCCCCATTTAATCCCATGAGGGAGCCTTTGATGAGTTGATGTCTCACTGGAAGTATTACATCCTCACCCTTTAATTGTTTTCTCTCTTCTGGTGCCCACTTTGGGTCTCCTTATTACATATTAGCACTTCCATCATGGAATTGGGAGGAAGAGGAATGCAAGTGAAGATCAAGTCAGTCAGACTTAATATTTCTTGACAAATTTGGTGAAAAAGTTTTTAAGTTACAGATGGAAATTGAGGTGTTATGAGATAAGAGGTGATGGTTGATAATCATTTTTCAATTTCGATTATGTGTGTCAATATAGCACGTAGTCACATGTAGAGAGGGTTAGGATCTCTATCCTATAATTTACCTGTTGAGTCTTGAACAAATTATTTAGCCTCTCTGGTTCTTACTTTACAATCTGAAGAGTGGAGATAACACTGTCCACATTATTCATATTTATTTTTAATCTGTCTCATTTAGAAAAGAATTTGAGGCCACAGACAAGACTGCAAATAAAATAAATAGATGAAAAAAGCCAAGGTGGTTGGAAAATACGGATAAGAAAAAAAGAGAGCTGAAGTAAATTCAAGACACCAATAAGTAAGCCACCAGGTTTAGTAGAGGTAAACAGAAATTTGACTCTAAAGAATTTAGGAGAGTCGATTACAAGACGTGCACTATCTCTAAGTACACACATTTTCTCAGGGGAAGCACAATTCTTCTTTGTCTGAAGGCTTGAGGGACCATTTCCCTTTGGATCCTCATTGAGACAGGTGCTGGGTGATGAGCAGGTCAATGTCTCCAGTAATACACGAACAGTGCACACAATATCGTATCTCATGGCCGCTGTTTCCCTTATTGTCCTTGTGTTGACCAGTGGTGAGCCCATCGAAGGCCAAGTTAGCAAACACAATTCTCAGGGGTGACAGCTTCACAAGGTGTGAGAGTCAGGCTACCTGATGGTCTTGCTTGATCCAAAGATCAAATTTGAAGAATTTTGAAGCATGGATGGATGGCATATCTTTTAGGCAAAATTTCTCCAAATCTTATTTCTTGCAACTGAACTTTTTTGTTTGTTTGTTTCTTGTTTTGTTTTTTTAGCTGAGCCATCCTGCCACCTGTTGGCAGCTCAGCGGCAGCTCAGCACGGGCCATGAATCGAACCGGCGACCCTGTTGCTCATAGCTCACACTCTTGAGTAAGCTCTTAACCAACTGAGCCACTCAGCCAGCCCTGCAACTAAACTTTTAATAAAATTTGGACAGCAAAGATATTGCAGTAATCTGTACTGGCAAGACCCAGAAGTGCATGTACTGTGACATACAGAAGAGAAGACTGAGAGCCTCATGTAAAATATAAGGAGCTAAACAGCCTCAAATAATTGTCATCCTGGTGACCACAGGCAAAGCCTAAATTATGAAATCATTCTGGGTCAGGTCCAATATATAAAGAAGTGGACAATCAAGATCCTGACTTTCTATGCATTGGGAGCATGGCTGTGATATTTCAGACTGGAATGTTTCCAAAGCAGGTCTCTCAGGTTGTTCATCGAGACCACTGAAAAAAAATCTTAACGAAGCACTAAAGAACATCAAGGTTTAAGTAATACATGTCTTGATGGACTAACTGCAAACCATACCTCCAAATAACTGTCTGGTTTGATTGATGGAGTGGAATTACTGTATGCAAACCCTTGCAGTCTTTTGAAGGTTATATGAGATAATATCAGTGAACGTTTTTTTTTAAAGTGCTATGAAAAACTTATATCCTAGTTACTATTGGAATCTCATTTGTATAACTGATCAGTAATTGGCTCTGCTATTATACAGGCTTGCCGTCGTGAAAAACACAGCCCCAGAAATCATACGATTAAGCATCCTGACAATGCTGTACAGTAAAACTGAATAACAGTATCTTCCTGGCGAGTCTCCATGCGTTCACTGAACGTCTCCACCATGGAGACGGCCGCACCCACCTCGTCCACTGATGGGTAAAGGGCAAAGAGCTCGGCCTGCCGGTTGGTCCTCCGAGCCTCCTCATTCTGCTTCTCGAAGTCCTCAGCGCTCACATGTTGCAGGAGGTTTTCCAGCCGCTGGTCAGGCTGCAGGCTGCGGAGGTCGAAGTCACAGGCAGTGAGGGGGCCTTTCCCAGACACGTCACACAGCACGTTCAAGTGGCGGGGGCCTGTCTGTGAGAAAAGACACATCCTTGTGAGAGAGATCGTGGTTGTAAAACGAGAACTAAGCCATCCGAGATGTCTCAAGGCTGCTGCCACGTGTGATTACAGAATCGGGTCTTCAGGAATTTCTGAGCAAACGGGGGCTTTGACAAGAATCACATCTAAGCTTCCTGGCCTGAGCATCCTAGAGTTAAAATGTCTCCTTTCTACCTGAAAGCAGCATACTCACTGGATGAAAATAAACCCATCCTTGAAGAAAGGTTTAAAAACAGCATCAGGTTCCTATTAGTTTTTGGTGTGTTCTTTTCTGGAGATTGGGAGCCAAGTCTCTTATGAGCCATGTTTCCATCTCACGCTCAAGCAGAACAGAACTGGAATAAGGTGTAACAAAAATGAGTCCGGTTTGTTTTTGTTTTGTTTTGTTTTTACAATATCCCCAACATCTTCCACTTCCTGTTGTTCCTATTGACAGTCACTGGTTGGGTCCTTTGTCTGAATAAACTGATCACCGGGAGCACAGCCCTGCTCCCTCCCTGTCTTCCAGTGTCCCTGTCCACACATTGGCTAAGAAGGTCACTTAGAAGCCAACCGAGGGTAATAAATAGCCTTCTATATCAGGTGTGTACCCAGGAGTACCCTCCAACTTCTTCTTTTTTTTTTTATTAAAGTTTATTGGGGTGACAATTGTTAGTAAAGTTATATAGGTTTTAGGTGTACAGTTCTGTAATATATCATCTATGTTTCACATTGTTCACCACCCAGAGTCAGTTCTCCTTCCATCACCATATATTTGATCACTTTTATCTTAAAAAAACAAAACAAAAGAGTCTGGACTAGGGTATCAAGGGACCTTGTCCTAGCTCAACTCCAGAATTTGGTTTTTGAAAGCAGAAAATAAGATGATCTCTGAGGAGCCTTCCCAAATAAACTTTATATAAACTCCAAAGCTGAGTCTTATGTTTCCGGAGACAGAGATGTGGGCATGGAAACACTTTCCTATAGGACTTCAGTAACGGTTACAGGAATAACCACCAGAAAAAACAACAAAAAAAGGAAAAGCATTTGCTATTCAAGCAGTACCCACTTTTAGCTCAGCATGTTTGAAAAACAAAAAGTCTCTTAAATCAGCTACAAAGTGAATGCTTTATTCTATTAGAAATGTTTTGGAAATTGGGGACTGCAAAGACTTGGAAAAGAATACATAACCATAATCAACAATATGTCATAAGAATATAGCTGGATCTATTATAAACATCTATAAAAGTAATGGTAAAATGTTACCCTAAAGCTCTATTAAATGCACATACTACTATACCTTTTGTGACATCAATCTACCTCATAAAAATGCTACTCTGCTAGATCATAAATTTTACCCACACTGAATGTGCTAGCAATAATAGTCATACTTTAATTATTTGTCTGGTTATATATGTATTTCCAAAATTTATCCTAGGGGTATAACGGGACAAGTGAACAACGATGTGAGGATAAGAGTATCTCCGAAACATTGTTTGTCATAACAAAATAATAGGAAAACCTAAATGTCCCCCAAAAGAGGAAGCATTAAGAGACTTTGGAACTTTCAAACAATGGAATATTACATGCCCATTAAGTAAGAAAAAAGAACATGCATGCATTGGAAAAGATGATCACAGTATATGGTATTGTTAATATAAATTATACATAATATTATACACAATATTATGTATAATTTGATCTAATTTTTATGAAATACCTGTGTACCATGGAGTCACATCGTATATGTATGTAACTTACATAAACTCAGGCATCCTGCCTCATCAGTCCACTCAATAAGGTACATGAGAATGAGAATGAAAGAGAAGATACTGCTGGTCATTTCGGGGTCTGAGTATGTCTACATGATGAGTATTAGCCTAATACTTAAAAATATAATTTTTTTGTAACTTGGCTCTGAAACCCAGCCAATGACTTAACTGAGTGCTCCGTTAGTATGCTGGAGGAACGTGTATGCTTTATGGGTGTGCTGGTCATTCGCCTATTGTCTCTCAGCTCCAAATTCATCCTTTTATACTCTGTTCTGTGATGCTAGGTCTGTACCCAGCAAATCACATTTCTGCTTTGCCTGCTGCTCCCTTTAAGGTATGTCAATAAGAGGCACTACAGGGAGATTGGATGGCTGGTGCTGGGAGAAGAGACTGTCCCCTTCCTCGCTGCTGCAGTTCCTGTCACCTTGGTAGTGGCAGTTGTTCTAGCCTATAGCTTCTTTTGGCACTTCCAGGCCTCCTTGGAGGCCCCAGAAGCAGCTGGGCAATTCCTCCTGTGAGGAGGTCTGTATCTAGACTTCCTGCTTCAATGAGGTCTTTCCTCTGAGATCCTGAGAGCACACCATCTGCTAGGCGATGCCCCCACCTCTGAGATTTGAGTCCTAGCTCTGAGGTCCCTTTTCTGAGCTTCTAGGGATAGGTAGCTGCAAGCTCTTCTCACTAGACCCATGGTTCTCAAACGTGGTCCTGGGACCAGAAGCATGAGCACCTCCTGGGAAATGCTAATTAGAAATGCAAACTCTCAAGTCCCATTCCACACCTAGTGACTCAAAAACTCCAGAGTGGGACCCAGCAACCTGTGCTTGAACAAGCCCTTTAGAGGACCCTGAGGAAGCTAGGGTTTAAGAACCACTGCCCTAGACCTCAGCCCCAGGGGGGTGTGCTGTCTCTTATGGTTATGATTTCTGTCTGGATGACTTCAATGTTCCCTTTTGGTTCTCCCAGTCCTCCAGAACCTGTTTAATCAACTCCCTTTGTTAAATTTCTTCCATGGAAATACCTAGTGTGGCTTCTGTGTGACAGATACAAGGAACAATTTACTTGGTCGTCATTTGTGGTAGAAACTGATTTAGTCAAAATGACTAATGAAAAATCTCTTAACACTCCCTAGAGAGCAGCATACACATCTTCTAGGCCTCAGTAAGCCCATCATATTCAGCGCTGGAATTGAGGACTGATTCCTCTAGAGAGCTCAGATTCAGTAATTGGCATGGCTGTAGAGACTGTGTTGTTTGAAAAATAGATATGATTTAAAACACCCTCTAGTTATATTCAGCACAGTGAGATGTTTGTGTTATGAGGGCACCTGAAATCTAAAAAAACTAGAACGGTATAGAAGAAGTCCTATGCAAACTTGGACCAATGTCTTCCTCTGTGTTCTATTTTTCTCAATTATAAAATGGGCAGGTTGGACTAGAGCACTGGCTTTAGATTTTTTTTTAATTGTGATAAAATATGCATCACATAAAATTTACCATCTTAACCATGTTTTAGTGTACAGCTCAGTGGTGTTAAAGTACAGTCACATTGATGAGCAACCAATCTCCAGAACTCTTTTTCATCTTGCAAAACTGAAGCACTATACCCATTAAACAGTAACACCCCATTCCCCGCTCTCCCAGCCCCTGGCAATCACGATTCTACTTTCTGTCTCTATGACTTTGACTACTCTAGGGACCTCATGTAAGTGGAATCATACTGTATTCGTTCTTTTGTGGCTGACTTATTTCACTTAGCATAATGGCTTCAAGGCTTGTCCCTATGGGAGCATGTGTCAGAATTTCCCTCCTTTTTAAGACTG